AAGGAATGTTGGCCCTGAATTTGGTCTCAAAATGTCTGACATGTCAACAAATCAAATTTTGAACACCAGGCACTTGCTGGTAAAACCTTCACCCCATTATCAATAACTGTTAATGAAAGTGGGAAAAGATTACTATGGATTTTGTTATGAGTTTGGCCTACGACTCCAAAGGAAAATGGGATGTTTAAATGGGTTATAGTTGATAAATTGACTAAGTGAAGCTCATTTTTCTTTTCTGCCCATCAAATTAGGGTAGTTCACTGAAAAAGTTAGCCCAAAGAATATATAGACGATATTGTAAGTTAGCCCAAAGATATATAGATGATATTTTGAAACTTCATAGTGTGTCAATATCAATTGTTTCTGACAGAGATCCACGGTTTACTTTTATATTTTGAGTTAGTTTATAGAATGCTTTGGGCACCAAATTGAGTTTTAGTACAACATTTCATCCTCAGATAAATGGAAAATCTAAAAGAACTATTTAGACTGTTGAGGGATGTCAAAGGCTTGTATACTTGAATTTCAAGGATCATGGGATCAATACATTGCCTTGATAGAATTTGCTTATAATAATCAGTAACACAGTAGTATTGGCATGGGACTGTATGAGCATTATATGGTAGAAAGTGCAAAGTCCTTTATATTGGGATGAAGAAGGAATTAGAATATTAGAGGGACCTACAATAGAATAGGAAATTGTGCATAAAGTTAAATTAATCAGAAGTAAGCTTAAAGCAGTCCATGATAAACAAAAGAGTTATGCAAATCAACAGAGAAGAGAAATGGAATATCAAGTAGACCAGAAATTTTTTCTCAGAGCATCGCCATGGAAAGGGATTATCAGGCTTGGTGAAAAGGGAAAATTGAGCCTTTGGCCCTTATGGAATTCTCGAAAGAATTGGCTACTTAGCATATACATCGGCATTGCCACAAGAGTTAGCTCAGATCTATGATGTATTCCATGTGAGCATGTTTAGAAAGTATCAATCAGACCCATCACATGTGTTACAAATTCAAGATATTCAAGTGTTTGATAGTTTGAGTTATGCTTAAGAACCAATTGCGATTATTGGTTATCAAACTAAAAAAAGCTAAGAAACAAGGAGATACCATTGGTAAAAGTTTTTTATCAAAACCAATCCAGAAAGAACATTACGTGGGAAAACAGAACAACATGTGAGACAAAATTGCTCCCATTTATTTCCTGAGTGAAGTAAAAATTTTGAGGATGAAATAAAAATTTTGAGGATGAAATTTCTTAAGGGGGAAGGAATTATAACATCCTGGACATGAAACGTCATATTATGATCATACATCTGTATTTATAAACATGACATATGTGACATGAATGTATATACACATGCATTTGCAATTGATCTGTGATAAATAATAGACAATGATATGCTTAAATAGGGATGAAGTGTGAATTTTAAACTATTCGTATCTGTATCCGTTTAAAATTATACTAACTATACCCATTAAAAATCCGTTTAAATATCTGTTTAATTACCTGTATCCAAATCCGTTAATTATTTTATCATCCATATCCATTTAAATTGGATAGGTTACCCGCAAATTTTAATAACTCGAACCGAATCCGTTTAAATATCATTTAAATTACAGATTCAAACCACTAATATTTTTTTTTTTTTTTTGAAACTAAAACCAGTAATCATTAACGTTAGAATCTTAAGTAAAACTATTAAAACTCGTATAATCTTAAGTAAAAATAAAAAAGGAAGTTTAAGTTCTTCCAAAAAACAACCACATATTATTTAATTTTTAAATGGATTCAACCACATATTATTTAATTTTTAAATGGATTCAATTACTATACCTATATGCATATTTATTGAAAAGTTAAAATAGAAAATTGATCTATTATAATATATGGATAAATTGTATAACTTAGTATTAAAAGCATAATATATTCTTTGAGAATATATTCTTTGAGAAAACAATTAAAAAAATACTATCCTAAAAAAATAAAATAAGAAATTATAATGAATAAAAATTCATGAATTCTAGCTAATTAATATGTATGTATAGGCTTATATCCTTTAAGTTAACAAATATACTAATATGGTTTAGTTATAAATATCATCATTCTCTTTTTTAAACAGGTCAAAGTTTCAAATCTCTAAACCAATATTTATATAATAAATATATTATTATTATGGATAAAAGGGTAGGGTATCTGCGGGTAGCCTAATCTAACGGATAGCGGGTAACGGATAACCATTGACTGAAATCTGTATCCTACCCGAATTTGTCGCGGTTAGTAATTTTACTATCTATATCTATTTTAAATCCGTTTACAACTACCCAAATCTGTAATAAACAGATCAGATCGGATCGGATACCTTTAAATACCCCTTCCGCTTCCATCTCTATGCACGACTTTGCATATAAGCATCTGATAAGAATGTGAATATGCAAATACATAATCTGAATAAGCTCTGAACCCGAAAAGTTTGGCACTCTGTCGTAGACACAGAGAGTGCATATATGTTCTTTAAAACCTTTCAGTACACCTATATATGGAGTTTATAAATGAGTTGACTCAAGAGAGAATAATGAGACTATTATGGAGAATTATGTCTATTTTGGTGATTAGATTGATTAAAGCCGTCTTAATATATTAGTAAGAAATTCTTAATCACAAGATTATAAGTTAATCAAAGTCGAAAATGATTATGGAGATTAATTAGGAGAAGGTTAAACGTGCTCAAATCATAGCAATGAAAAGCTAGCTTGTGAAGCACCTCAATTAAAATTTTGATTAAGTACTTAATTAATGATTTTGTGTTTAATCATCTAAGAAGTGTAATTAAGGCCTAAATGAGATTAATTAAGTGTTAATATGGAGGATCATGGACTTGTTTAGCATAAAGAAAATTTATGATAATAAGTATGGGTTAAAGTACAAAAAGGTAAAACCTTAAGGAGTTATGAGGAATAAGTGGTCATGTAACTTGCACATGACCAACCAATTCATAAGAATTAAAAGGAAGAGTAATTGCTCAAAGAACAAAAAGTTAGAAAAGAGAGAAGAAGAGGTCGAAGCTAGAGAGGAGAAGAGGGAAACCTTAAGAACTTAGAAATCCTACTTGATTTTCAAAGGGTTTTTGCTAGAAACCAACTAAGGTAAGTTAATTTTTGATTAGTTTGAGTTATTTTCATAATTTGGAGAAGTTTGGGTTAGGGTTTCAAAGTATCAAAAGTAGAAGAAATTGAAGGGAAGAATGATTCTCCAAGATGGGTGACCTCCTGGGAAGTTTCCCATTTCCCCCAAGAACAAAACCGTGAGGGTGACCTCGTACGGAAGGGCCCAAAGCGGACAATATTCAGTCATGTCAAGGGCCATGACAGGAATGGAGGTTCCATCAATTCGAAATGATCGCTCAAATGATCATTTCAAAGAGAAAATCATATCTGAGGCTAAAGATGGAGGTTCGGCCAACACGAGATGATCATGAAAATGATCATTTCATTTTGAATTAACGAATTTAATTAGTTAGTTAAGCATTCTAATAATGTTGTTAAGTGTTGGTTTGGAAGGAATTATGATTAAATTGAGATCTCCATACTTATATGGTTATGTGGTTATGGAAGTTTAAGGAACTTAAAAAATATTCATTATTGATGTAATATTTGATGAATTTTTAATGATATTAATTGTTGAGTAATTGAATGAGTTGAGATTACAAGATTGTTAAGTGAATGTTAGAGAATATACAGGATTTTTTGAGAGTTCAAAATGCAAAGGGAAATAAAAATATTAAGCATTCAAGTCATGCACACTAAGTGTTTGATTAAATGACTAAATGAGTATTGGGGTGCTTGCTTACTCATATAGGTAAAAGGTTCCTAGAAGGAAGTGAAGGAGGAGACTCTTCCAGGCACACTAAGTGTTTGATTAAATGACTAAATGAGTATTGGGGTGCTTGCTTACTCATATAGGTAAAAGGTTCCTAGAAGGAAGTGAAGGAGGAGACTCTTCCAGGCCTTGATACCACTGCATTATGTACTGTGAGAAAAAGCATCTAATATTTAATTGTATGTAATTAATGAATGCTTTTAACATTTGATGCCATCCTGCAATGATATGAACATGATTCTTATCATGGAAAAAAGGAAAGCTAAGTAAAAAGGTATGTACTATCTTAAGGCCAAATTGCCTAACATGTGATGGATGTTTATTTGAGATATCTGTTATAATAATACACTGTATTTGACATCTACTTTGAAAGGAGTATGATGTGATACTAAAAGGTGACAAATTAAGCAAAATGTATGTATTACTTTGAGGTTTGTGAGCCTAATCTGTGAGTGCAATTCTGTTAATTCTACATCTGAGATAAATAAAAGTTATGACTATCATTAACAACTCATAAATTTGATATGTATCTGGAGCTGCGTTGTAACATCCCATTTTTCTATTGAATCGAGTCGTTGCTTCGAGTCGAGTCGGGCTGATCCAAAACCCAGTTCGATCCATTAGATTCTAGAGTGGGCTATGCTCAAAATCTGATCTGAAAGCTGGCAAGCTTAAATCGATATCTGAAATTTGTTTTTGATACTGCGAGGCGAGCTTGGTTTGACATGTCATAACATAAATAATATGAAAATCATCTGTATCATCTTCTGAATTATATTTGAATGACTATGATCTAAATTTTTATCAAAGGAAATGATGTGATATCTACACACTATTGCTGTGAATGATTTGATGAATGGCTATTATTATGTGATAATTGTTGATGTCGGGAATTGGTGGCCCGAGGAGTTAGAGATATTTTGATTATTGGGAGTGCACTATATGCTTTATTTGAGATGCTCATGATATGCTATGTTATTTCAAAAAATCATTTATGATGATTTTTACTCACTGAGTGGCATCTTATATAAAATGTTAATATTTTTCCAGATTTTGTCTCCAAGACGCATTAGTAGTCAGATTTTCAACTATTCAGACTGTTTTCAACTATTCAGACTGGCAGAAACGGAACTAAGATCAGGATCAGTTGTGTCTGCATATGTCACCTCCTCAGTTTTGTATACATGTATTAAGGGAGATTGTACTATATATGGTCAACCATATAAAAGATATATTTTTACTATGTGTTGTCTTGAATATGACTGTATGTAAAGAGTAAGAAATTTTTTTATGTTGGTTTCCACTTCTCAGAACATGGTGCGACCTATACCTCTGATAAGAACTCTGTATAATCTGTTATTTAGCATCTCGGTACTATTTATCCCTGGGTTATAGCCTAAGGGCGCAAACCATAGCAGGATCTTGCACACCCTCACTTAAGATTCCAGCCTCCGCAGCCACTTCCTCCTCATCATCTAAGTTCTGATATGCATCAATCTGGCTAACAAAGCTCCAATCCTTATCAAGAAACCTAGATTGAAGCTCAACCACAATGAGATCCGACTGATGCAATAACATATCATTAACCGAGCGAGTGATTACGGAGGCAGTATCGTCAACCCGGGCAAGGTCAGCTTGGAGTTGTTGGATGGTGACAATGCGTTCTTCCTCTTGCTTAATGAATTGCTCCACCCGAGCACTGAGCTTGAGGGAGGAGTCGAGATGTGTGTCCCTATCCTTGGAGATAGATTGGATCTTGTCCTTCTATTTTTCCACAAAGCGGCTATGCTCCAATGCTTAGGTTTGGACAGAGTTCTCCAACTTTTCAACTTTAGACTTTTCAACCTTTAAGTCCTTAGTCAGAGTAGTGACCAGCTCTCGTGATTCCTTTACGTAGCAACGGGTATCATTATAGGCACTCACCAATTGAAACAAACAGAACCACAAAAGATCGCAATACATAAGCGAAATGAGAAAAGGAAGAGAAAAGCATGAAAAATCAAGGAATGTAAGAGGAAACACCATTAGAAGCCCACTATCGATTTGATTAAGAAACGATTCCTCTTTCAGGCCCTCTAGTTGAACCAAGTCGGCAGGAAGAGCACACTGCGCAGCCAGAGCCCGGGCGACTTGGCCGCTACTGACCAAGGCATCCTTCCCATACTTCCTTCTCATCGCGATCCATAACTCAAGCCCTTTCTCAGAGATTGGAGAGTGAGGCTCATCGGCACCACCTCACTGCCTTTTCTTTTTTCTCTTTGGCACAATAGTTTTTTAGCCAGCAGGAAGAGCAACTGGTGGATCAAAAGCCGTCACACTCGAGGGATCAGCTGTAGGTAGCTCGACCATAGGAGGACACACGGGAGACACTATGACCGTCACCTCAGAGCGCCTTAGGCTAGAGCGCTGGGTTCCCTAGCCTCCCTAGGGCTCTACCCAGACTGAGTGGCAATTAATTGGTCTCTATTCTCTGCCAAACACGCTTTCATCTCCTTGGACAATCTTGGGCCCATTTCTACAAAAAATAAAGAAGCTAAAAGAGAAGTCAGTAATGGAGTTTTTGGACCCAATGGGATATTAGCATCCAGCAAAGAAACAATGGGAGGAGGATTTAGGGCATAACGCTTCAAGGCCTTGACCTGCCTAGCCTCAACAGTGGTCAAGTCCTGAGGAAGCCTCAACTGAGGAGCCCATCAGCTCCAATTGGAAGGTATCCTAAAATCCAGATGATGACTAATAAGGAAGTACTCCTCCTTCCACCTTCTTTTTATGGACAAGCTCTTCAAGGGGAACAAATTGTAATTCTTTCGAGCAGTAAGGTAACGGTGGTCCTCAACCACTCTCCAAATAAAATTAAATATGGTGTGAAATTGATGTACGTTGAGCCCAAAACCTTCTTACTGAGTTAGAATTCCAGCCCCCAATATCATATGGATGTCGTTCCGAGCAATCTGGCTAACAGTTACCCCCCACCACTAATTGCAAAAGGAGGAGATAATCACCTAAAATAGGGAATCGCACGCCCGTTTTCTCCTTAACAGCAACGAAAGCCAAAACCAAAAAAAAATTACTTCTAGGATGTCTGGTAATGGTGGGGCTTCAATGTGCAGATGAATGGTTTTGGCTTGCATTGCTGTTAAGGAGAAAACAGCGATTTGAAGGAATCTGGGGTGAGAAATAGCCTGTGAGACAGTGGAAGGTTAACAAAAGCAGAACTGAAGCGTTAAAGGCAGCAGAGACCTCTTTTATTCAACATCATAGATAAAATTTAAAATTGAATATATGCTTGATTTATTAAAAATTGTTTGAGATAATGATGACTTATAATGGAACAAGTTTTTCATTTTTCAAAAAAGTATTCAAAGTAATAACTTTTTACAAAAACAGAACATTATCTAGAAAATCCTTTATCCATTAAAAAATTCCCTATTAACAAACACAGTATTGAAAGCAGGTATTGAAAGCAGCAATTGGATAAAAACAAAATAAACCCATTTTACCCACAAGGACAAACACTGTACCTTCTGAAAGCAAAAAAAATTAAAAAAAAAAAAGTGACAGATTAGAAGCCAAAAAGAGAAAAATTTACCTCTGGGCTATCAGGCAATGGTGGGGCTTCAATGTGCGGATGGTAGACAGCGGATGAATGGTTTTGGCTTTCTTTACTGTTAAGGAGAAAGCGGTGGCTTGAAGGAATATGGGGTGAGAGATGGCCCGTGAGACAGTGGAAGGTTAACAAAAGCAGAAGTAAAGCGTTAAAGCCAACAGAGACCTCTTTTATCCAACATCATAGATAAAGTTTAAAATTGAAAATTGAATATATGCTTGATTCATTAAAAATTGTTTGAGAAAATGATGACTTATAATGGAATAAGTTTTTTATTTTTCAAAAAAGTGTTCAATGTAATAACTTTTTACAAAAACAGAACATTATCTAGAAAATCCTTTATCCATTAAAAACTTACCAATTAACAAACACAGCATCGAAAGCAGCAATTGATAAAAACAAATAAACCCATTTAGAAGCCAAAAAGAGCTAAATTTTCCTCTGAGCTATCAGGCAATGGTGGGGCTTCAATGTTTAGATGGTAGACAGCAGATGAATGGTTTTGGCTTTCATTGCTGTTAAGTAGAAAACGGCGATTTGAAGGAATATGGGGTGAGAGATGGCTCGTGGGACGGTGGAAAGTTAACAAAAGCAGAACTGAAGCGCAACGACAGTAGAGACCTCTTTTATTCAACATTATAGATAACAGCCTCGTTCAAAGTAAATGTGGATGCCCTGTTCATATAATTTGCACATAATTATCTGTATCAAAATAAATAAATAATGGTATCAAAAAAAATAAATAAGATTCTGAAAGCCAAAACAACCATAACTAGAAATCTTGAAAGGCAACAACATCATATTTGGATATAATAATTAAAAGGTTTATTCCACTTTGAAAAAGTAACTAATCAACATAACAGGCAATAGGTTCATAAAAACGAGAAATAATAATACAGAAGCAATCAGATTTAGATTCTAATGTAAAAACATTATATAATCAAAATACAAATTGTCAATAACTTGATATATGAAGGTCAATAGAAAAATGTCCAAACCATTTTTCTATCGAATTTGCGATTGAAACAAAAGTTTGATTTTTCTTTGATTTTGCAGCTAATTTGTATAAAATCTGGAGAGAGATGGTTGTGTTGGTTATTGGTTTCAGAAAAGAAAAAAAAATATATAATATACAATTTATTTTTATGATGCAAAACCTACTTCAAAGGGGAAAAGAAAAAATCTGAGACATAGTGATGGCTTGGTAGGGTTTCAGTCATTGAGGAGATGTTTCCGAGAGAAAAAATAAATGACCCGCGTAGCCTGTTGATTGTTATTTCACTAAGTGAGATGAGATTGAGAAAATTGAACTTCTTTGTCAGAAAGAATAGAGGAGTTATGGAAGAATTAACTGTTATATATACGGAAAAAAAAATTTGTCCAAAAAAAATTTATATTGTTATATTTTAGTCTATAAATCGAGACATTGACTCAGTTAAAAAATTTCTCCTCATTATTAAAAGTTTGGCGCATTAGAATATTGCAATTTCACTTTTGCCCTTTTTTTTTTTTTTTTTTTGTTTAAAATTTCTTTTGAGCTCTTGAATTTTGCTGTTCTCACGAACGTTTTTTTCTACTAGCTCTTTTATTATTCCTTTAGTTACTACTGTTCTCTTTCTCAATTAACCATTTCTCTTCTCTTATATATTTTATGCCCAACAATGTTGTTACACTTAACTTTTTTATTATCCTGCTACTTAGATTTTCTGTTATAACTTGATTTTGTTTTTCTTAATTTAAATTCGTTAAATTAAAGTTTTTTTTTTTTTTTTGTTAAATTTGATTTATTTCCATATTTTCATTTTTTTTTTACAACCCAGTTATTTAGTAACGTCAATAATGTTTTTTTTTAAGCAAATTCAGAGTAAATTAAAGATTAAGATTTTAAACTTATGTAAAATAATTGATACCATTTTTATAACAATATCTTTTTCTTCTTTAATTAGTTCTCAAATAAAAAATAAATATTTGACAACTTTATTTAAATTTTCAAAAAACAATAATATCTATATGAGTTTAATTTTTAAGATTCTTTTTCTAAATCAACTCCAAATTAAAAGGTTTCAAAAGATAAAAAAATAAAATATTACTTAAATCAGGTTGAATGGATCCATTTATGGGCCAAATTAAATGAAATAAAGGATTCTTTAAAATTATTCATATTTTTTCTAAGTATATTGGCCAAAAATTTTTCATTTCAATAAAAAATTTATATTTTCAATTGATTTGGTCCTATAGGTTAGAAATCATGAAACCCGATCTAAAATAATTTTTTTTCCTATAAATTTAATTTAATTATGTAATAGTTTTTTAATATAAATCTTTCTATTAGTTTATATATATATATATATATTATATATATATATAATATATATAATTTTTTTATTTTATTATATGTTATAATATTATGAATAATTTATATTACTTCAATCTAATAGCATAAATAAAAAATTTATGAATTAATAAAATAGATAAATTTTCTCAAAGTGAGTATAAATTTAACTTGGCCTATTAATGGGAAGGAAGGGAGGGCTAAGTGAGGAAACACTATTGTGGGAATAAATCAAATGGGAACAAATTTATAAAATGATTTAGTGCCAATAATGTAATTAAGAGAGGAATGGAAGAGTCTAAACGAGGAAACATTATAAATGGGGCAAAATTGTAAAAGGATACTCCACTTTTATATATAATACTACTCATGCTTATTTATATAATAATAATAATAATAATAATAATAATAATAATAATAATAATAATAATAATACTCGTGATTAAGTAACTATTCATGCTTGTATATAACAATATACTTGTTCTGTTTCAAAAAGATACTCCACTTTATATTTTCATGCAAATTAAGAAGGTAATAATTATTATGGCTAAAGAACAATATTATTCGCATAACTTTCCTATTATGGTTATCTTAAATAACATATGAGCAATTATTATATTATAATAATAAGTAAAAATTAATGAAGGTTACTGAAAATAAGATAAAATTTAATAAGAATATAATAAATAATTTAAGGATTAACTATAATTCAAATAAAAAAAGTGGATTATATTTTGAAATAAACCAAAAAAGAAAGATGAACTATATTTTGATTGAAAAATATATTTGTATTTATATTGTGACAAATATTTTCGCAAAACTCTATTAGATGACATTATCAAACTGTATAAATATTATTATAGTTTCTTATGTAATTACATGTGAATGATAATGGCAACAAAATATTCATAATATTATCTATAAGTTAAATTATTATGTTCTAAAGTCAATAAATATAAAGAATCAAATATAAATTTTTATTATAAAATATTATATTTTATTATATCATAACACAACTTTAAAATTACATTTATCAATCTACTATTTATAATAATTAATCGTGCAATAGTTACATTTATCAATATATAATTTATGATATTTGATCGAGGCATCGCGGAATTATGTGCTGGTTACTATTATCATGCTTATTTGCTTATAAACAATTTTATTTTGATTTATTATTTCCTTTCAAAAAAAATTTATTCTTCTAACTTTAAGTCTCCAAATTTTTAAAAAATAAATGGACCCCACCTACTTTAGATAAGACGGCACCCAAGACTTTGTTATTTGAAAAAGACTTATTAGGTCCATGAGAAAATATTAGTTTTTATTTTGGAATATTGTCTTTTTCCAAGGTCATCTTTAAACATTAAAATGCCCTTTACTTCAAGAAGCATCAACGAAGGGTTATCGCCTTATTTTATTTTATTTTTCAATTTTATTCAAATACAAAAAATTCATAGCGGGCTTAATTAAAATATATAATTTATAAAAATAATAAATTCACTAGAGTCTAACAAACAACAAATTTTGCCTTCTTTTGTTTTTTAAAATGTCAAATTTTCTTTCAATTTATAGTTCATTTCTGTTAAACTAATAAATTCTTGCATCTAAAATAAATATTTTTATTATTAATTTTAATGAAAAAGATCAAATTAACATTTATCTATTTTTATTTTACTCTTTCTTTTTCCTTCCAAAACCTAGCGGTTCATACTCAAGTTCTATTGTTTTTTCTTTTTTTGGTTAACATTTTATATTCTTAAATCAAATTCGATCCATGCTCCTCTGTGTAAGTGGTAGCCATCAGCGTTGCCGTCAATGGTGGCCGAAGAACGACTTTTTTCCAGAACATAAAATTTATATATCAATTTGTCACAAATTTCATGAATTTTACAACTCCTTAATTAATTTCTGCATTACGTAGTTATTTCTAACAAAATTCCAATTTGTATTGGAGACTAATATCAAATCAAAAGCACCATATGCAATTAAAACTGTAGAAATCAAATTAACATTATTTAAAAATACTCTACAATCATAAAGAAAGAGATTTCTAGCCCTAAAAGCCTAAATCCATGTACCAGACCCCATCAATTGCTAGAAAGGAATATAACAAATTTTATTTTTTCTTGAAAATAAAATTACGCATTAAGTTAGTACACAAGGTAACAAGAGCAAACTAACAATTCTAAATTTTACTCACTTGCAAACCTTGCATTCCCTTGCTCCACTAGTTAAGTTCCCCGATCTTTGTTTGAAAGGTGAAATTCAAGTCTATGCAAATATATTTGTTTTGTAAAGAACATAAGATATGATTGCACCGCAAGAGATCTTCATTTTATTGTTGGGGGTCTGCACAAACTTGGAAGCAGGCGTTCTAGTTCATTTACAGTCTCTACGAGTAAGTAGATACGTTCAAATTAGTAATACAAAAAGTGAAATTTCGGATCATGAGGGCGGATAACCAACCAGCATATGAAGAGGATAGTAAAGAAAATAACAATAACAACAATTATAGCTACGATTATACAATAGAGGAATGTGGTGTGTGGGTTGGGATATACTAGCGATTGGTTGTAATAGTAAGGGTTGTTAGGTTGTGGGGGGGCATAGGGAGCGGTAGATGGCGATGGAGGGTAGCTGTTAGGGTGTTGTAGCGGGGGACAAGGTAGTTAGTGATAGGTCTAGAATGGTTCATGTGGAATTCACTCATGCAACTAAGTTGAGATTCTCTTTTCCACATCAAATGCCATGCATAAAAAAGGGTCCCACAATAATGCAATGTCATGTTTTGGATTATTTTTGGTCAGAAACTTGCCTGAGTTACTTTTGTGTTTCAAACATCAAAGTTTAGAGAGTTTTAAGATACAATTTTAAGATGAGATACC